GAGTGTTGGGGGTAGGGGCTCACAGAGGGGGCCAGAGAGTGGGTCCCAGAGGGGAGTGGTCCAGGCAGGGGCCAGAGGAGCAACATCCCATGCTAGAGGGACACAGCGAGGAGCATGGGAGCGCGTGAGAACTGGGAGGACTGGGCCATCGCAGTGAGGCAGGGGCACAATAGGGGACAGAAGGGGCTGGGGAGGCGCCGGGGAGCGGAGGCCCAACAAGCTCCACCCCCTGCCCTTGCACCCCTGCTGGGCCCGAGCCACAGTGGCAACTATTCTGTCCCGTCTCTGCTTTTGTAAGCTCCCTCCAGTCCTTTTTGGGGATAAGGTGGCATTAAATGAGTTAATAAAAGCTGTCTGTACTCAGGGCTGTGTGATATATGCTCGCAAATCCACTTTTGGTTCCGGTGTCACTGTTGAGTTTCTCTTGGCCTGTTTCAGAGTCTGGTGGCCCCTTTATCGACCAGGTCTACGTCCTGCAGAGCTACGCAGAAGGCTGGAAAGAAGGCACCTGGGAGGAGAAGGTGGACGAGCGGCCGTGCCTCGACCAGCTCCTGTACTCGCAGGACAAGCATGAGTACTACAGGTGAGGCCATGGCAGGCAGCTCGCTCACGGCCACGCTCACGGGCCAGCCCACAGCTGAGGTGTCCTGCCAGCGTCCTGACATGCTGCCCGACCCTTGCGTGGCACCCGTGCTGTGCTGCCGCGACTGCCCTTGGTCCTTGACATGCAGCACTCCTTCCTGCAGAAGCCCACAGCCTGGGGAGGAGCTCTCTGACCCCTGCTACACAGGAGGGAACGCAGGCGGCTTTAAGAACACCTAAGATCCGCTCATTTTTCCCCACATTTTTAATGCACTGGAACCTGGCATGGCAGTAGGTTCTTGTCAGCCTCAGATGTAAACTGCCACTGGAGTAGACTGCCCCCTGGAAAAGCTGTCACTGCACAGCATCTGTGCTGAAAGCACTGAAGTAACCTGGTTACAAAGCGTGAGTGTGCACAAGCTCTGGGGAGGAGCATGGCTACCGTCACGGCACGGGGTCGCGAGGGCCGTTCTGGTCCTGCTGCTTCCTGGCTGTCCTGCTCTCCTGGCCATGCTGCTGTCCAGGACCGTGAGGCAAGCTCGGTGGTCTCATCATGTTAAAGTGAAACATACAGTTTCCTTCTAAAGGTTTCACAAGAACATCACTGTCTGTAATTATGATCAGTGTTAACCCTAAACAGACAGCTGAGTTTTGTCCATATTCAGCCACGTGTGTGCATGCATCTGGATTCTATTTGTTACCCATATAAACTCATGGAAGTGTGCTGTTTATTTTCCAGAGGATGGTTTTGGGGTTATGAAGAAACCAGGGGTTTAAATGTTTCCTGTCTGTCCGTCCAAGGATCGGCTTCTATTGTAGCACCTGTGCTTCTGAAAAACACTTCAGCCCGGTGAGTGCCTGGCACATTGCACTTGTGACCAGCCTCTTGGTCAGGGATGCCCTGCATGTGCAAGTGCGGCCTCCGTCCCCATGCAGGAACTTCTCGGTCAGGGACACTCTGCGAGTGCAGCCTCCATCCCAGCACAGGGAGCTTCTCAGTCGGACACCCCACATGTGCGAGCAAGGCCTCTGTCCCCATGCGGGAGCTTCTTGGTCAGGGACACTCTGCATATACGAGCACAGCCTCTGTCTCAGCACAGGGAGCTTCTCAGTCAGGAATGCTCTGTGTGTGTGAGCATGGCCTCCGTCCCCACGCCGGAGCTTCTCAGGGAAGTCGTGGGTTGAACTCACAGCACAGTCGCTTCATCACTGAGTCAGGGTGGGTCCTCATGGGAGGTGGGGACTGGAGTCCCAGCTGGCGTCACTGCAGCGTTCCTCTCTGAGGTGAAGTAGGAGCCAGGGCTCTGCTGGGCTAGTGGTGTGGAGGTGTCACTGGGGCAGGGGCAGTGCAGAGCTGGAGATGACGGTCTTTGTTGGCATGGGGAGGGCTGTGCTGGGAGAGGTGGTGGAGGTTGGAGCAGCAGCTCTGGGCTGTATTTGTAGCCCCTGGGGAGCTCTTAAAAATACCTTCTCCCTGTTGTATTTGTTTTCTTACCTCGTAGGCTGGGGAGTTGTGAAGTGTGTCCTTCCTGGAGACTGTGTGGCCTCAGCTGGGTGAGGGCGACTGCTCCCACTCGCCACTGGGTAGCAGCCAGCCCCAGTGAGCTGCCAGCCCAGGAGGGCACCAGGGACACGGGGGGGATCGTGGACAGGTCAGTGCAGGATTGGCGTAATAAAATCTGGAAGGAAGAGTTTGGTAGCCGTCATCTTAGAATTTGCTGTAGGCTTCATGTGGCCATGGGTTTGTGGGGACCCCGATGTCGCAAGCCTTTTCTGTCTCCTCCTTTCAGTCCCCTTCCGAGTCTCTCAGAGGCTTGAGTGTCATGTGCAGTCCTGGGCACACCAGGGCTTGGTGCCCCTGGACACAGCTGTGTGCCCTGAGGTGGCCTCTCCTGTCCTGTGTACCCATGGAGGCCATGTGGTAGCCTCTCCTGCCCTGTGTGCCCATGGAGGCCATGCGGTGGCCTCTCCTGTCCTGTGTGCCTGCAGAGCCGTGTGGTGGCCTCTCCTGCCCTGTGTGCCCACGGAAGCCATGTGGTGGCTGCAGTTCTGTCTGTAGATCCTGCCCTGCCTGGCACTGCCGCGCCTGGGAGAGCTGGGCAGGCCCCTTCATGGTCCCCTTTTGGTGCATTGGGCCCTTTGTGGAGAGGACGGAGGTGGCTGCAACACGGACCTGTGACCCTGCTGCCCTGGAGCTGAGGTCACTTATGGAAAAGGAGAATACAAGGCTGTTGGGGAAACTGGATTGGATTTTTTTGGTTGTTTAGATCCAGCTTTAATATTGTTCTAAAACTGGGTCTTTTTATTAAGTATCTGGATTTCAAAAGCAATCTGCCTGGGTTTGGACATGTGGGACACAGTCTTGCTGGTCAGTTTTTTCTGACTCACGTTTACGGTTCAAAACGGAGCTGAGCCTGGGGAGACCTGCGGCTAGACAGTCCCTTGATTTAGGAGAAATGCCTGTGCTGAGGAACAGCAGGGAAAAGTGCCATGAAATCAGAGGCTGACGACTGCGGGGCGAAGCCCCCCCCCCCAGCACACAGGAAACTCCCTCCCAGTGGATTAAAGACCACCTGTGAAAGGGACCCATGAGGCTTCTAGAAGAGAACGGCCTCATGAGCTTGGGGTAGGGAAGGGTTTCTTAAACAAGATGTGAAACGCATAACCAAGAAAGAAAAAATTGATAACTTCAATTACAATAAAGAATTTCTGTCCATGAAAACAGTAAAAAGACCAGCACGGAGAGGGAAGACAATCCTATTGATCAGTGAAGGACTCTGTCCAGGATATGGACAAATTTCCTAAAAGTCATCTGGCAAAGGGCGGGCGGCCTTTGGTGAAATGAGCGACAGGCGGGCCAGCCATTAGGAGAGGAAGTGCAGCTGCGCCAGACACAGGAGATGTGCCGCGTTAGCAACCGGGAACACAGCCACCCCACCCTGGAAGGAGGGGACAACAGGGATGCCCAGGCCGCTCCTGCAGGAGAGGTCGGGAAACTGCCAGGAGCAGAGTTTGGCCTTGAGGTCGAGGGTGGCAGACCCGTGACCACCAAATCCATCCTCCTCCTGTGCCCTATGTGGGCAGCCCCAGACCAGAAAAGCACGTGTCCTTCAACAGCAGATCAGATAGAAACGTTAAAACTGAAACGTTACTTGGCTAAGAAAAAGAGCAAGCCACCTCTGTATTCAACAGAGAAATCAGGGATACAGTGTTGAGTTTAAAAAATTCAAGAAATAACCATAGTCAGGTTCCACTTGTCAGAGTTCAAAGACAGGCGCACACATGGGGGCAGAGGCATCGTCGTCCAGGGCAGGTGTGAAAAGCACTTTGCTTCTTCAGCTGGGGCCGTAGCGTTCACCTTAAACTGCACACCCAGTGGAACGCACGTCTCTACGTGCATTATTGCCTTTTGTAATAAAATCTTGAGAAACAGTTTCTGCAGCAGTGCTGGAGATGGCCACTCCTGTCTCCTTCTAGAACAATCTCCTCATATCAGTGTGTGTGTTCATATCATGTGCGTGTTCACCCCTGTTTAAACACAGATGGAATCACAGTGCACGTGTTCTCCACGTGGGTTCTTTGGCCTCTTTTCCCCACATGCCTCTGTCGTTAAGGACGCATGGCGTCACCTCGTTCTTCCCAGGCGTCTCTGCCGGGATGTGAAAGGACTTACTGAGCCAGCCCGGGTTGGTGGCCCCATGGTTGGTTCCAGGTTTTTGCTGTTAAAACAGGTGACATTTTTGTAGGGAAGTCTTTGCACAGACAGTGGGGGAGGAGAAATGTAGGGTGACGTCCAGAGCAGAAGTGGCTGGGCGGGTGCTCACTGCCGTGTCACTCTAGTGGCCGCACAGAGCTGGTCCCCACACGCCACCAGTGCACAGAGCTTCGGTCTGTGAATCTGATAAGTGAAGAGTAGAATCCCTGGTCTGTCACTTTCTATTTCTTTGATTTTGGAGTATAATACCACGTTAAAAAGCCCTTTGAAATGTTAAAGTACCAATTTAAATCTTTTGGTAATTTTTTTTCTTTGCAGAAATTAAAAATTTTCATATAAACAAGTTTATCAGTCTGTTTCTTAAAGGATTCTGTTTTTTTTTTTTCCCTCAACCTTTATGATCCAGTATTCTTAAAAATTCTTTCCTGTTCTTTCTACTTTATAGTTACAGTTTTCACAATTAACTCTTTGAACCCCTGAATTTATCTCATGTTGGGAGTGAAGGCTGCTGGATGGCCTATGTGTCCCAACATGTTGCCATGAGGTGCCTTTCTCAGGCTGCCCAGCCCTGAGCAGGTGGCATGTCCGGACGTGATGCAGAAGGTGTGTGGTGGCATGTCCGGACATGATGCAGAAGGTGTGCATTGCCCTCACATTGGGCACCCTGGCCCAGCACTGAGTCGGTCAAGGGCTCCCCATGGAGCAGGCTCTGGCTTTTGGCTTCAGCTGCACAAACATGACAGAGCATACCTAGTCCCTGTTGTATTAAGGGGTTTTTTTGGTAATAGGAGCAAATACTGATTCTTAAGCCTTGTGGTATCCATCATTCCTTGACTTTGCCCCTTTATCTGTTAACGTGTTAAGTAATCGATTTTCTAATGTTGAGCCATCTTTGCATTCCTGCTGTGAACTCCTTTAGTTGTGTGCGCTACTCTTTTACTATACTGCTGGGTTCTTCTTGCTAATTTTATTTTTGTCTGTTTTCTTTTCTTTTTTTTTGTTTTTGCATGGCTAGTCACAAGTGAGGTGGTAACACCTGGTTCCTATGGCTAGAGCAGGAACCAGGCTTTGTAGGAGTCAGCATCACATATGGACGAGATGGGAGTCTCAGCCACAGCTACCCAGATGCACCTGAATGGGTCCCTGCAGACTTGTCCCTGAGCATTTCCCTGGCCCGGGGTCTCACACTTTCTACTCTTAGAGAATGTGAATTAATCGTTTCTAACTCTTGTCGTCGTTAAAGTCTATTTTTCTGTTGTTTAAAAATAGGTCCGTGATGNTGCCCAGAAACTCATCCCTTAAATTAAAAAAGTCAGGACGGGGTTGGCGTGTTTGTCTGTCATGTCAATGCTTGGGCTTTTCTCCAGGGTGTGGGTTACTGTAGTTACCTGGGCACCGGGAGGGACTTCAATGCCCTCGTCTTGGTGCAAACTTAGGGAAGTTGCTCTTTAGTAAAACGGGGAAATCATTGCAGGTACAGCAGCCCAGAACATTGTTCTTAGAGTAAAGTGCAGGCTGGCAGTCAGTGGCCCTGGCAGTGCTGCTCTTACACTGCATGAGCAATAAAGAGAAAATAGGATTCACCCCCAAGCCACGCGAAAGCACCATTAATACCATTTTGGTCTAATGTCATCTTTTTTATTTTATATGTATATTTTTAAAAATTTTTTCTGGAAGTTTGGGTTTTTCTGTAACATAATTTCAACAAATATGTTACTTTTCAAATCAATGTTATTTTTAAGCATTCTCAGTATCTCTTTTTAGTGTTGTTTTTAACAGCAGATATTTTGTAGAGAGGAAAACCGTGTTGCCTGTTTGCTCTTTGATGGGACATTGGGCTGTTGCCACCTGGCATGGCATCATCCCAGAAGCAATTGTTAAGTCACTGGGACAGACTTTACTGGAAAAAAGTTAAATAGAAGGTTTTTCTTTTTTTTTCATATTTGTTTTTTTCCCAGTGTTTTATTTACTATTTTTATTTCACACTGACAGAAGGGTCAGTGGTAATTAATCGCTTTATGGTCTTCTTAAAAAGACATCCACTTCCCCTGAGATTCCACCTGAGAATCTGCAGACAGACCCAGAGGCGACACCATGGGGGATGCTGCAAGGATTCGCTCATCTCTCGCGTCCTGTGTCCCAGCCCCAGCTCCCG